CCGGACATAAAATTAATTAGACCATGTTCATTAAAAAGTAGTTTTACTATGAGGTTAGTTTATTGTTATAATTCAAGTATTGTGATTTTAAATCATTTTATTTACAGCACGTATTTGCAATTTTATTTAATAGATAATTTGTTAAAGAATGTGAACCCATATTTAAGACTTATAAAACAGATATTATTGCAAATGATAAACAGAATAGAAAATCATTCAAGGTTTTCTATAATCAACAACTAACATTTAGCATTTTGTTGCGTTCCAAGGAAAAACAACATCATTTCAAATAATACACAAAATATTTATAAATTCTTCATTATTTTATCTTACTTTTGGAATATGTCCTTCTTAATAATATTGTGTAACTTTCCCTAATATTGTAAGTATTGTATTAATTAACACAAGCTATATTATAATACAACCATATATATAAACCAAATTTAAGATAAGTGTTATACTTAAATATTGTTAATATAATTATAAATAATAGTTTATTTTTAGGATGCCATTGAAGCCCTTAATGGCTTACAGAGCAATGCTTCTGTATTACAACAGTCAAAGACTCGAGCTCACAACGAAGCTTGCAAAAATTTAGATGAAACTAGAAAGTATATGTTTCGTTGTGGAGTTTCTATGAGTAAACTTAATTTGCTTTCTGTTATCCATGTTGCCGGCACAAAAGGAAAGGTATTAATCAATTCAACTAAGTCTTCGAAAAGGAAATATAAAATAAATAAATAGATTTTTTAAACTAGCTAAAAAATTAAACAGAAATGTTAATAATTGTAACTTTTTCATAGATGTTGCAGTTGTTATAACATCATTTCAATCTCATCTAAAATTTATTACAATCTCTCAAATATATTTTTTATTAGGGTACAACTTGTGCTTTGAGTGAATCTATTCTACGTTCCCATGGGTTCAGGACAGGTTTTTTCTCATCACCGCATTTAACTTGTGTTACTGAAAGAATACGACTTTGTGGAAAACCAATAAATAGAGACGTATTTGTTCACTACTTTGAAACAGTCTACAAAGCGCTAGAAAGTAAAAGGTAGGATATTAATGAATATGTGAAGATGTTTTTATTTGATTTGTATCTTAATGGTTTGTTAGTGAATCAATGTTATAACATAGATTTACACAAATATATTATTAAATTAGACTCTGTACTAAACTAATTTATTTCAGGAGCATACCCATGACATGCCACCATACTTTAAATTTTTAACTATTCTTGCATTCCAAATATTTATTTCTGAGAATGTAGACGTAGCAATAATCGAAGTTGGAATAGGAGGAGGTGAACATGATTGCACAAATGTTTTGAGGTTTGTTTTATAATTTGAACATAAAATATAAGTTTCTGTAAGTATTATTTTAATTTATTTACTAGGAACGTATCAACAGTAGGTATAACATCCTTAGGTATTGAACATACTGCAATTTTGGGCGACACGATTGAACAAATAGCTTGGCAAAAAGCTGGTATTATGAAACCTGGTTGCCGAGCATTTACAGTTCCTCAAAAATATCCAAGTGCCATGACTGTTCTCAAGAAACGTGCAGAGGAAATTAATGTATGTATAAAATTTAACTGAAAATTTTAAGGTAAACATCTTAGGTGAATAGCTATATATTTTAGATACCTTTAAAAGTGGTCCCCACATTTGATTCATATACATTTTCAAGTGAACCTGATTTACAAGTTGAAACTGAAGCCCAGAAATTAAATTTATCTCTAGCAATTCAAATAACTAATCATTGGATGCAAAGACATCGTTATGAAATTGGAATAAATCAGATGCCACTGCAAGATTATGAAACCAATTTCATTTTAGATATTGATGAAACGTTTGTAAGAGGAATCAATAAACTTTCATGGCTTGGAAGATACCAAATAGTACAATGGAAATGTTTAAAGTATGTTCTGAATATATTATATATTAAAGCAGATTCGGTTTGATTTATTCATTAATTAATTGTTTGCAGTGTTTATTTAGATGGGGCTCATACTATGGAAAGCTTAGAGACATGTGTGGAGTGGTTTAAAAGGAAATCCAGGTAAGCATCAATAAACTGGGAATTGTATATATGAATATGAGGATTTATCTAATATCTAGTGCATTTATAATAAATATCTATTTCAAGTGGGAACATCACACATCCGAAAGTCTTAATATTCAATGCAACAGGTGATAGAAATTCATCATTACTTTTGAAAAAGGTGGTTACGCAATGCAATTTTAAAAGTGTGATGTTTGTACCTAATGCTGCTCATGCAGATCGTGCTCTTCGTAATGGTTAGTTGAAGTTTTTGATTTTATTTTATGCCTAGTAATAAAATATATTTTACCTTAATTTGTGTCTTATCAAGATCTATTAACATTTGATTATTTTTTATTACAGATCAAAATAATTACTCTATGCCGCTAAATATGCAAATGGAACGTTGCTATGAGCATCGGGAGGCTTGGAACAAGATTATTGAAGAACAACACAGAAACACTAATATCTCGAATAATTTATGCAGTGATTTTAAAAATAATAGGAAATTAAATCAAAATATCTCAGAATCTCTTTCATCAATCAATGCAGAAAATTCTCAACAATTTAAATCAACAAATGCACATAGTAGTAGTTTTATTGTGGAAACCATATCATGCAAAAGTAATGGAATTATGACAAATAATTGCCATAACAAAGAAAATAATATGGAAAATTTTAATATCAAAAATATGAATATAACAGAAAATGAAACGAAAAAGATGGAAATAGAGCAATCGAGGGAAATAAATAATCCTTTTAAATCCTACAACAGTGAATGTCATGTTTTTGACAGTGTCTACACAGCACTACAATTTTCAGTTCAACAATATGGACCATGTGATGTCTTGGTGACTGGTTCATTGCATCTGATCGGAGCTACTTTAATAGCATTAGATCACAATTCTGCAAATGGTTAAAATATCTTAAATCAGTCAAAAATGAGGGAGAAATCTTTGAAAATAGAGAAAATATAACTTCAACTATATTCTTGCATCACAATTTCCTATATGCAGCACCAAATGAAGAATTAATGCTTTGTTTAATTTGAACGCATATAGGGAGATTATTTTTAAGATTTGTTTGATCTTGTTTAATATAATTTTATAATAGGTTTAATTCATGTCATATTTTAATGACTGAGTTCTTTCTTAATGATTACGATTATTATAATGATTTTAGATGTATTTTCTATTCACCCTATTCTGAAAATCATTTTAAATATATTTAAATATACATATCTTTAAATCATAATTGTTAGTATTATATGGATATAGATGTGCTTGTATAGTATCCTACATATACATTTCGAATATTATATATTTTTATAATAAAATATTTTTGTACTTTGTAATTGATTAGAGTAATTATTATAGTTCTATAATTTGTTACGACTATGAATTCTATTGACAAAAGTGCTAAAGAATATTTTTCTATTGTATTTAGGCAAATTGCATCCATTCTTGCTTGCTTACATAAACGACTTCGTCAATAAGAATTGAAATTTAGCAATTGATTATTTTAATCGATCAAAGCTAATCAACGCGAATCCCACCTGATTTCATCCGAAAAGTTATTGATTTTCCAAAATCGGCTTAAAATTTTTCGCGAAACGTGGATGAAAAATTGCTGTTAATTGTAAAGAAAGAGCCTGGTCCTTATCGATTTCATCAAATAACTTTAATTATTTGAAATCTGTTTGCTCAAATACATATAATACACATAGGTATGGCGGAAAAACAAACTTTTCTATAGGGAAGATATTGTTTTTATAGGGAAGATCATGTATTTATACATAATAACTGTTTCATATTATAATTTATAATGATATCATTTACAAAAATATATATTTATACAACAATATGCATATGCATATATGCCTACTATGCGTGTAATTCTTGAATATTTAAAGGTAACTTTATTGATATCATATTGAAGATCCTAGACAAAATTCTTTATATGAATATATTTATTATTATATTAAAGATTGTCTAGGGTCTACTTACTCATTCATGCACCATTTATTCATTTGTTGAATGTTAAATGGACTCGTAATTTTCAAATGCTTTAGTTTAAAATATAAGCGATTCAATTTAACTTTGATTTATGTTGTAGCAAATTATAACGTGAAATTGCTATAAATAACTTTCGAAAATAAATAAGAAAAAAACATACAAATTATAAGATTGATATCATCATCATATCTTCATCTCCGCCTTCGGTCAATCTTCGCTTTCTAACCAATGGCAACGCAGATTCAGTTAAATCCATTATTTGCATGCGCGCGCTTGCTATATTTGGACCAATGAGAACTCAGGAATTCGGGTGATCTTAAGCTAAAAGTGCAGGGGGTGGAAATATATCTTTACATAATTGATATTACTGTACTACCATCTTCATTCTTAGCGACACTTTTCTGAAAATGAAACACTTATAACAGGAATTAAATAAATACTACAAGGAAATATTGCGCAATTAAGAATCTAACTAGTGGTGCATGGCAATGCCGTTATGGCATCGTGCATTAAATCAAATAAATGAATGGAATTTAACTAAAAATTTTGAAATTAGCTTGAATCGTATAAGTAAACTTTGAAAATTAACAATCTTGGTACGGAACCCAACAAAATTGTATCAAAATTAGTACTCATTTTTAAAAATTGTATCAAATATCTGATAATTTGATGAGCATATGTCTGATGATTATTCTTGACCCAGGACGAAAAATTGTATCCATACATACACACACACATACATCCATTTTTTTCCAAAATGCCAAAATGCTCAGAAACCTTCAAAAAGTGAAGATATGCAAACATTTTCATTTTCGTTTTTTTTTGCGATTACTATAATCTTACCCATAGATAAAAGAAGAGTATATGTATGATCAAAGAAGAGTATATGTATGATCAAAGAAGAGTATATATATGAAGTTACCCTACGGGAAGGTAACTAATTTATAGTGTAGGTTATTGACCATAAAAAAAATCATCCTATTTCCTACATAATATTATAATATATTGCAATAGATCTGATTTGGTTCAAAAATGGCTATCGCGACCAAGCAGTTTTTTCGCTTCCCGAAAAATTATCATTTTTGCTCCATTTTTGTGTGTTTTTTAGCAAGTCTTAACCATTCTTAACAGTTTACCATCGAGATTAAAAATTTTAATGGATTTTGATATAAGACTGATCGGGATGTTTTTCCATAATTATAACAATTAGAAACAAGAAAAACTGAATTTTCACAAAAGTTGCGATTCGGCAATAGTTTTTGATAATCAGAGTTTGGATGAGCAGAACGGATTTTTTTATAAAAAAATATATTTTATTCATGTTTGGACAATCTTAAGCATTGGTTTTAAATTATTAAATTAATTTATAAGCTTTTAAATTATTGTTATATTGTTCGCGAGTCTTTTTGTTCCAAGGTGGTAATTAATAAATTTAATTATCTTAAATTAATATTATATTGTCAATACTTTCACAATATATACTCTACACCTGTGAACCGGGGTACATTGCCCCAAATAAGGTAAAAATGAAATTTTTGGGAGTAAAAACTATGTATTTTTAATTGATGTTCAATGGATTTGTTACATAGTTGTCCATACGGGGTAATCTCTTTTGGTGATGAGGTAATATCAACTTAGACAAAAAAAATTGGGGTAATGATTAAAAAAGTTCTCCTACAGCAGCTCTACACATTTAAAATTTTAATAACGCCTAAAATAATTTGAATATACAGTTTTGAATATCAAGACTATCAGTTACATAATAGAGAATGCTTAAGCATAATAATTTTTATTCGATAAATAATTGAGTAATTATTAAATAATTGAGTAATCCTAAGACAATTTACAAAATAAACAAAAATATTATTACCTATAGTTTTAAAATAAATTGTCAATCGGATCGTTTGTCAATTTGTTTTAAATTATATAATATTTAATTCTCAGCGGTTTATAAATATTTTTTCAAGAGAAGTATGTATCTATACATCTTCATCTCAGTTGAAAATTTTGAAAGTTTCGACATGAATCCGAATGTCATTTCGCGAAATAAATGCCATCCCCCGAGGCAGATATAAACTCGCACTTATGTCGCTGAATATCTGTGGGGGGCGGTTTTCAATTTGCTACAAGTTACAGACTCGTTAAACCAATGATTGTGAGCTTTAGGGGGTTGCTCCAAAAAGCCCGCCAACTTGCGAGAAATTGCAATCAGTTTATCATAAATCATCCAAGAGAATATAAGTACAATTTGTTGTTCGTTCCATCTTTACATACCGGAATTTATTTTTAAAACTAGAATTTTTAAATATGTGTAGTGTTAAATAATTAAGTAAATACTTATATGTATTAAAATAGTTTTAATAAATATCTCGATTAAGAAAAATTTTCGGCAGCCAAATAGGTGCAATAAATTGTGAAGTGCAAAGACAATGCAAGGAAAAAATAAAACATCATTTTTGATCAAGGATATTTTAGATGACGTATTTGGAGCTGCTCGAGGTATTTTCTCTACTTTATTAAACGTTATATATACTTTCTTAATTAAGCCCTTATTAAACATCTCATATTATGAAAAAATCAACTCTATAATAGTGGTGTATTGAATTTAACATTTTTAACATCCCGAAAGAGTTTATGTTTTCGACAGGTAATCCGATTTGGTAATTGACAAATATGTTATTGTCAATTTTTCACCAAAATTTCCAAACCGGTTTTGATAATTTTGAAAGATATCAATTGGTACAAGTTTTTGGTAAGCTCAACCAAGCATTTTTCTTCATACATAGATTTGAATGAATCTTTGAGTAAAGATAGAGTCATAGTTTTAAACATCATAAAATATTATATTTATACGAAAAGTGGTTCATAAAAACTAATTATTGTTTGGAGTAATGGATCAGAATTGGACATACACCATGTGCACTAATAAGCGCGTGTATAATTTATTCGTTCATTATTCCTATGAAAATGTAATTGTAACAATTGTAAAAGTTGTTAATCTCAATTCTTATTAATTAAGTTAATTATTTACACAGTTTATGCAACTGGCTTTAAGGAAAAATGCCATTTACATCGAGATAAAATTTCTTTTAGGGTGGTTTCTCGCCATATTGCTATATTGCTTACTGTGTTATCAAAATTTATTTTATTGCAATTTTGATAATGCGATATCTTCTTATATATAAAATGAATCGCTAAATGTGTTGGTAAGCGCATATCTCAACTATGCCTGAACCAAATTGGCCAATTCTTTTTAAAATGTTCGTTGAAGAAGTCCAAGGATGGTTCTTACGGCGAGAAAAAAATCGAATAATTCCCGGGAAACCCTAAAAACAGCCCTTTTCATTTTCACATACAAACGTTTTCTAACTAAAACGTAGAATCAATTTGAGCTTTAGTTTATTATAATGAATTTATAAAGGTAAACTGATGGACAGGTAAATTAAAGGATTTGTAAAATGATAAAGAGGAAAACTGGTAAATAGACGAATATGTAAACAAATAAACAGGTTGACAAGTTAATTGGTAGACATGTAGAACGGGATGACAGGTAAATTGGAAAGCAGGTATATTGATTGACAGGTAAAATGGTGTATCGATAAACAGGTCGATAGATAAATAGGTAAATATGGTAGATTGATTAACAAGTTGAAAGGTAAATTCGTAGACAAATTATTGAATAGGTTAAATTGTTGAACATATTGATAGCAGTAACGTTAAACTAAATGTATAAATACACATCTTTGTTCAACTTTTTAATTAAACTAAATCACGGCAAAGCGTGAATAGGTACAGCTAGTTTTAATATATATAAACACATTTACTTATTTTTCCGACAAATATTTAAATCTCAGTTGCAAACGCTTTGTTTTTGTACTTATAGTCTTTAGAACAAAAATACAGTTAAAATTGAAAAAATACGATATTAAGTTTCATGAAATTTAAAAAAACAAAATAAGCGAATTTTTATTAATATTTAATAATTGCAGCAAGGCAATTGTATTAAGAGTTTTACATAATTTTAATTATTTATAAACATTTTTGGCATCGCAATCACTGCCGAAAATAGATATATTTTTCGTGAAGTTAATTTTTAATTAACGATACTTAATTCATCATTCTAATCGTAGATAGTAAAGTATATGATTCGCCGAATCTATATGAAATTCTTAAATTAAAATATGAACCACTTCCTATTTGAATATTTAATTCAATGGCGTAAAGCAGTGAACAATCTTTTTAAGAATTATTCTAATAATATTCCAATAATATTCCTAATATTTAGAATTATGGTATTTGAAGAAAGATTTTAGGAACAGACTTGATAAAACTATGGTTTTATAAATTAACTATGAAATTTCTTCAAATTTATTTTTGTTTTTCACAGTCTATTGCTATAAATCTTTTCACATACCACAATTCTAAATTTTCCTGATACCATTCTCTGATTTTCGTTTGAATATCGTTTTTATTGTTTCAGCGCCGGTAAATAATAATAAGCAATGCTGACAATGAAACACTGACATCTATTGAAACTGATCTCGAGAGACAAAATGTCGCTTCTCCTTATCATTCATTTGCGCAATTGGAATCCAATGAGATGCGTATCATTTTAAAAGGCAAAAAACGTAAAATTCAAGGCAATTCAGTAGATAACGGTTCGAATTATTTTGACCAATTGTTGGATCGTAATAAAGTCAGTTTAGAAGACTACTCAGCCAGCGTCCTACAACATCCAGATCGCGATGAACCAGGTGCAAATGATGCCAACGATCACACCAAGAATAGAAAGCCGAGAAGAAGAAGAACGGCCTTTACTCATGCTCAATTATCATTTTTGGAAAGGAAATTTCGCTGCCAGAAGTATCTATCAGTGGCAGATCGAGGTGATGTCGCAGATACATTGTGTTTGACGGAAACCCAAGTTAAGACTTGGTATCAGAACAGAAGGTAAAGATGATAAAAAATTCGCTTTTAGATGTGCTCCAAATAATCCGATCCTTTAAAATAGCAATTTTTATACTAACATAGATAATAGTTTGATGGTGAGGTTGCCAAAGTCGTACCCCCTAAAAAAATAATGCTATATTATTTAGGGCAATTAAATTAAAAGCAGTAGCAATCATTATTTATTTATGTTAAGGCGTTGAATACATCCTACTGCTGCCTTTGCCGTTATCACTTTATAAAAAATTAATAACTGCACTTTAAAATACCTGTGTGCACTGTGATTATTAGAATGAAAAAACGACAATAGACATAAAACTATAAATTTTATTAAATGCTTCAGTAAATTTCTTAAGATGTTCTTAGTCTCGGCACTTACTGAATACTAAAATTTATAAATTTTAAAATATATTAGGTTGTCAAATATCTCCCTTCCGCTTTTTTGCTCTTGGTTTATAATACAAAAAGGCGGAAGGGAGATATTTGACAACCTATTAATATAAAATTATTATAAAGCTGCCTGGAAGAGATGACAGCATACAAAATAATTACACACAGAATTTGGGATAAAAATATAAAAAGGGATGCGTATTTACTTAAGCTATGGAAATATATATGGAAAAATTTGTATGATTTGCACGTGCATCCTGTGCTCACTTGAACTAAATAATGATCAAAAAACTAGTGAGGCGCATGGCATCGTGCCTTAAGGCAAATTGCTGGAACTTTTTAAAAAGATTAACATTTTTGAAAAAAATTTACTCTGAAAAAATTAGATTTTTGAGAAACTATAAATTTTTGACAAAACATTACTTTTTTTGAAAAAAAAAGACTTTTTGAAGAAAAATTTATTTTGAAATATTTTAAAAAATTCTGAACTTTTTTTCAAAGCAATCGTACTGCTTTAACTGATGCATAGAGACGAAATATCGAAGCGCGTAAGCGCCGCGACGCCGTCTAACGGATAAACATTGGCACGGAACCCATAGGAATGTAAACAAAATTTATAGTTATTGCTAAAATCTCTATAAAATATCTTATAATTTGATGTGCATATGTCTATATATGTATATATAGATCTGCATATGTATATTTGATCAGTTCTTCATCTTGTTAATACAAGTAAAATGTTTTTTGAATTATTCTAATCGGACGCTCCGTTCTCTTAAAAACTGATTTACCGTTTTTGGCACTTTTTGCCCCATATCTTCGGAACGGCTAGACCTGCCTTTGCCAAAAACTAATCAGCACGTCTCCTTATCAATACGAATCGAATGTTTTTTGAATTATTCAAGTCGCTTCATCCGTGTTCCCGAAATCGTCGACGAAAATTTGTATCCGCACACACACACATACACGCACACACACACATACATCCATTTTTTCTAAGGTATGCCAAAATGTTCAGAAATTTTTGAAACGTGAAGATATATAAAAATTTTCATTTTCGATTTTTTGCGATTACTATAACTTGCCCTACGGGAAGTTAATAATAACAAATTCTCAACAATTTATAAATTACATTTTTTTTTAATAAAGGTATTTTTAGGCTCTTTTAAAAATGTGCTTTCGGTGCAATTAAGGCACCTACTCGCCTTAGTCGTACCGCCTGTAGCCTTAGATGTACCCTACTACTAAAAAAAACTATATAAGATACTGGGAGTAATTTTCTCTTGTTATTCATCTCCAAATCAAACATAAATATTAAAATTACACTCAAGATAAAAGAATAATCGCAAAAAGTAACGAATGCTTACAAAATTATTAGGCTTCTGGGTAAAATTGAGCGATAAAACTGTTCATAAAGATAAATTCTTTATTGGTTACACTCATTCGGTTACCAATTTAAAAAAAAAGTAATATTGTATTTAACCACTATTTGCTTGTATTTAACAAGAAAAATCCACAAATCGCTCTTCATTAAACCGGTACATTAAACGAGTAAGTATTTAACATACGACTTGGCTGCAAGGTCTTTGGAAAAATAAATGAAAACTACTGACATAAAACCTAAACAATTCTACCTTTTAAATATATCTAAAACAAACGATTGCCAAATAAGTAATATAAATAAACCATAATGAAAAAAATCAGAATCATATTTGCGTAAAAGTCTTCGAACCGGCTTCACACTTACTTTTTTATTACTTCTATTTCACAAAATTGGACAGTCTTCCATTTGTAAACTTTTACTTGGTCAACTAAATAGATCTATTTAAAGTATCAAATTTATATAATTTATAATTACCATGATATAATCAGTGTGTTATCATGATATAATATATAATTATCATGATATAATCAGCGGATATAATCAGGGTGCGACTTAGGCGGTGGTACGACTTTAGCAACCTTACCTCAAACAATTTTTAAGTTTCGATTTTCATTGTTTATTCGGATAGACATCAACGAACATAAAGGCGCACTTGAAAACTATAAAACTTTTTAAAATTTATGTAAAAAGAATTACACTGACAAATATTTTCTAAATTTCAGAACAAAGTGGAAACGCCAGAACCAATCAAGATTAGAACAACTACACCAGGAAAGTAATTCATCTGTAAAACAATTCGATACAAATATTTCGGATGATAAATTACTAATAAGAGACAAACATACTTCTAATACCAATAGAGTCATGTATTGTCCCCAGAATAATTTAAACGTTGGAAGCGGATTTTTGTCAGGAATTATTTTTCGACCGTTTGGTCATTGATTGTAAAACTTAGAGATAAAAAATAATAATCGAATGAAATTTAGTGTCCAAACTTTAAACATAAAATCATTAACATTCATTTTTAACATTATTTGAATAAATTACTTATTATATAATTTTTAATACTTTGTTACGTATTTGCTCTCATTTTTGTGTTCATGTATATAAAAAAAATCTGTATTAAGTGTAGCTATACTAAAATAGTCTAATATAAACGTTTGTAACCCTTTTGCTGACGAGAGATTAATATCACATTGAATCGCGGTTATGCTTGTATGAAGTAATAAATAGAACCTAAAAATATTATTTTGTTTTTTTATATATAATAAATCAATTTTTAACAAATCTTTTCTCGCAATCTCTAAACTTCTCCAAGCACTTCGTCCTTACAACCGTCGCTACTCATCCTAAAAAATGTGTTAAAAAAAAAACTGTTCAAGGATGATCTGAAAGCTCTATCAAAATATGTTTTCATATTATAAAATTTTAAACATTCGGTTTTATTTGCCCTTATCCAGTAATTTCGTAATTCGTAAGCCTCCCACCCAATCCCATTTTAGCTTGGGGCACCGCAATTCAAAAACGATGCCTTGAATATTCACCCAAGCATAAATGTTAATTCGAACCCCCTGCGGTGAAAATCATCGTGTCGAAATTACACCTCATTCAATATAAATAACCGACTAACGAGCTAGTTATTCTAATAATAAATCTCACAATCTGAATTTGATCACTTATTGACGGTTTCATTCATTTTATTCATAATAAATAATAATAATTTGAATTATGTTTTCTTTTATGTAATAACAGCAATATAGAAAAAATACATTTTGGAATTAATTTTTCATCAAAAATAAGTTGTTTTTGTCAAGTAGTATTGCTTACCATTACAAAATTCAGCCTTTTCTTCTTTATTCAAATTAATTTTTGTATTTTTCTATTTTGTTAACTCGATTTTATTTTCCTTCACATTTCGATTTATGAGATTGACATAAATTACCTTTCTTGAACAACATCAAACAAATAAAAAAATCATCTTTAACCAGTACTTGGTTCATTCTGAAAAACAACAAAACTATTTTTTAGTAACTATAAGTCTTATAATTATGAACAACAATTAAATTACTTACTTATCACAATTAAATTTAATATTGGCAATAAGAAGTTTACAAATATTTAGTAGGCATACATACAAAATAATATTCTTATTGTTAGTGAGATGACACATTTAATTTACAGATATTTCTGAATGATTATCTGTTATCATGTTATTTAAACTTTGCTTAACCCGGCGGTTTTCAACGTGTGGGGCGTCAATAGCTTTTTCCAAAATTCTATTTTCGATAATAAACCAAAAATGAAAGAAAATATTAGAAAAAATGATCTAGTAAATAATTATTGTTTATTTATTTTTCTACATAATATTGAATATTAATTTGTTGTTTGTTAATAATTGAATTATATTATCAGTTGGGTTTTTATGAAATTATCAGAATTTTGTGTATTGACGAGTATAATTATTATAGTCATCATATCTATAAAACAATGACCATTTGCTAATTAGATTGCAATTTTTGAAAAAAAAAAATAAAACATATTCTCAAACACCAAGATATTAAGAATATTGAGATGCTGGTATAAAGTAATAGCTTTAAGTAAGAGGTACGAGGTCTGTTCAAAAAGTTTTCGTAATTTTCGTTTTTTCAAAAAAATATTTATTTATTCGTCTACATTAATGTCGTCCCCTTCAAAGTAGTCCCCCCAGATATAATACACTTATGCCAGCGTTTTTTTCCAATTTTCGAAGCACCCTTGATATTCACTTTTTGATATGTCCTTGAGCACTCTCAGCGATTTTCTTCAATCGAGGAAAACCGCCGTCCTTTCATGGGTCTCTTCAACTTTGGGAATAGGAAAAAGTCACACGGAGCCATATCTGGTGAATTTTTGCACTTTGCAACACTTTATTTCATTTTTTACGCAAAATTTAATACAAATTCTTTGACTTTTCAATTCTTCCATTGTAAAAATCGCCGAGCTCAGAAAAACACGTCTAACCTTAGCGACTACCACAGACAAAGTAAACAGTGAATATAGCTGAAAATTTCATCATACTTTAGGGGCATGTATATCAACACAATAAAAAAAAATTTTGACAATCAGACACTCCAGACCCGCGAAATTTAATTATTAGTAATTCCGGGTACTTTTTGAACACACCTCGTATATTACTTGAAAAAAACATTTTACCTCGATACTAACGACCAAAAATGTGTACACAATTCAATAAGATCGCTTTAGTTAACTGGTTAAATCAATAAGTGTACTTATTGTTAGTTTTTTTATAAATATTAGTAAATTTATCTGAATTTACCTCAATTTATTCATTTATCTGATGCATTGTGAGTGACTCTACATGTTTTTCTGAGAGATAATTTGTGCCGAAGAAGATTCAAAATGTAAAGAATACTAGTGGGGCGTGGGGCAAATTGCTGGAACTTCCCGAACGATTTTTTTTTTTTTAAAAAAAGATTATCATTTTTGAAAAAAATTTACTCTGAAAAAAATAGATTTTTCAGAAACTATAAATTTCTGACAAAAACTTACTTTTTTTTGAAAAAAAAGTCTTTTTGAAGAAAAATTTATTTTGAAATATTTTGGAAATTCTGAACTTTTTTTCAACTGCTTTAACTGCATAGAGACAAAATATCGAAGCGCGTAAGCGCCGCGTTACGGATAAACATTGGTACGGAACCCATAAGAATGTAAGTAAACAAAATTTATACTTATTGTTAAAATCTCTATAAAATATCTAAAAATTTGATGTGCATATGTCTAATGATCATTTTTGACCGCCAAATGGCATTTTTTTTTACTTTTTTTACTAGATCTCCGAAATCGCTAGACCTGCCTTCATGAAAATTTGATCAGTTCTTCATCTTGTTGATACAAGTATAATGTTTTCTGAATAATCCAAATCGGACGCTCCGTTCTCTTAAAAACTGAGTTACCGCTTTTGGCACTTTTTGCCCCATATCTTCGGAACTGCTAGACCTGCCTTCGCTACAACTAATCAGCACGTCTCCTTATCAATACGAATCGAATGTTTTTTGAATTATTCAAATCGCTTCATCCGTGTTCCCGAAATCGTCGACGAAAATTTGTATCCAAACACCACACACACACACGCACACACACATACATCCATTTTTTCTAAGGTATGCCAAAATGTTCAGAAACTTTTGAAACGTAAAGATATATAAAAAATTTTATTTTCGATATTTTGCGATTACTATAACTTGCCCTACGGGAAGTTAATAATGATAATCATGTTCGTTTTCTTGTTCATCAATTAAACCAATCACGACTATGGTCAGAGCATAGTGAAAAACCTAGATTCATTTTGTTCAATTTTGACTAGTTATTGAATAAAGGTTTAGCATATGAAAACAATAATCAAATATAGAATATATAATATGAATCCCTTTATATGAACCAAAGATTGAATATAAATGTATCAATTAAATAACTTATCTAAATTCGTGGAGTATTCATCTTTTGAAATCATCTTAAAAGCTTTAGGTAGATTAAAAGACGATGCTCATGCCTTACAAAAGCC